ATATATATATATATATATATATATATATATATATATATATATATAACATGGAATCTTCCCACTAGTGCGACTTGGACCCTTCCACTTGCACTTTGATTTTCTCTCAAGGTAACTTGACTATAAATACTAGTCCTTTCCTTTTCTCCATTCTCAAGCCCCATGCTAAAAACATAAGTGATCTCTCTACCCTTTTTTCTCCCTCCCCCCTCTCTCTAGTTTTCAACATTTCTAGCTTGTACTAAAATGGCAAAGAGTAACTATGGTTTGGGATATTGTCTGATTCTATTCATTTTGTTACTGGTTGCAAGTGAGTTCGAGTCATGTGTCGAAGGGAGACGTTTGAATCCCAAAAAGAGCTTGGCGAAAGTAGAAACGATCAAGTCTCAAAAGGCCTCATTCGGTTTACGAAAGACACCATCAGTAGAAGTGGTAACAAGTAAGATGGAAAAGGCCGAAGACTTCAGGCCTACTGCACCAGGACACAGTCCTGGCGTGGGTCATTCTATTCATAACTAGTTTCTTCTTTTACTTGTGTATATTCGTAATGAATCAATTGTAATTACTGATGGTTTCTCTATTGTATTCAAGTTCAAATAATTTATATCATTTATCAACAGCGACTTTCTTTAAGCGAATAACCACTAACTAGACTCTGTGAAACATGGGTGTTAGTTAACAAATAATTACGAAAATGGAGATGAAATTTTGAAAGTATGTACAAAAGGTATGGTTGTAAAAGATGAACTTTTGAAACAGTAATTGGTGCAACGGTATCTGATAACCTAACATTTTTAAAGATCAGTAGTTCTCACTTTGGTCATCAAAGATGAGAAGTCTGTATAAATTTTATTATTTAAATATAAATATTATATATATACTTAAAAAAAGTAAATTTTATGAGATAAACTTGTATATAAAACACAAAGCATTGTTAAAAATATATATAGACATGATAATTTTTGTTAATTAAATATAAAAAAGTGATCCACTTTTCAATGAATAGTAGTAATTAAATATGGCATTGCATCTTTTCAACATAGAACATATAAACCCAATCAAACTTCTCTTTATTTTATTTTATAATTATTATTAGTAATTTAATATTAATTAGTATAATGATTATTTATTTATTTGTTGTTATCTAACAACTAACGAGACAGTTATTTTTGTCGTTTATAAAAATACGACAAAAATAACATAAATAAAACAAATCTTTGTGAAATTAATGATTTAATATTTCTCCGTTATTTTTGTGTGATTATCGACGAATATAAAATAATCGTTTATTTATTTATTTTAATTACTATTTCTTACAGTCATCTGTAATTCTTTGTCATTTTTTTTGTTTTTAGATCATCTATAAGTCATTTGTCGAAAATCGTTGACGAAAAAAGTACGTCAGTGAATTTCATTATTGATAGTCTGTTGTCCAATAATGTGACGAGATATACAACTAATTTAATGTACGTCAAACTGTGACTAATCAAATTATAACGAAACCCAGAACAAAAATACAGCAATGATCAATTATGTATTTGAATTTGTATTAGTGCATGGTTATATTATATGAAGTATTACATATGAAATAAGGTCGATGAGTAATCAACTCGATTATAGAGGACATATGGCATATTTGGAGAAAACTTCGTTTTGGTGAAATTATAACGTCAATACGATAGGTTGTATTTTATGAAAGTGTAGTCTATCTTCGATAAAAATATCAATAAAAGATAGATTTATATATGGAGATGGTCGTATGACAAACACTGATGATAAGATTTACAGTATTCAATACAATGTGGTATTTAAGCATATCTGAATTAAGATTTATCGTAAATAGATTTCGAACATGAGCATATGACAGGACTTTTTGGACTAGTGCAAACCTAGATATTACGCGTGGGAATTATTCAATGGATAAGAACGTCGGGGAATTTAATCAAGAATATGTTAAGTTTAATAGGGGATTTTGAATATTAACATAACTCTCTAAGGCTATCACGTCAAGGTGAGTTTCATGTGTTTTATTAAAATGGGATACACGTGGACAGTGTGTAGTGTGATTTCAATATTTTTAAGGCGATATACACGTTACGTGCTTGATAGTTTTTCAATTGGTTAGCATGTAATGCATGAAAACGATGTTTTACTATGATGAAACCAGTTTACAAAGATTATTAGAAATAGATTTGAAAAACAAATTCAATCCTGATTTATTAAGGATTATCATAATGGCTACAGATAATATTACCTTTTTTAACTTAATCTAATAATGTTTCATTTTATCCATTTACTAAATAAGGTATATGTAACCACAAGGGTTGTGTCTGATTGGTTTGAGCTTAGTTTCAAAAGTCAAAAGTATCTGGAGGTTCAAATGCAGTGACTCCGGACTATCTGCAAAACAGATGGTTGCTCTGGGATTAATCCGCTCACATAACGAGTTGGATATCCAGGTTAATAAAAAAAAAGGTATATGCTTCATATTGCTTGTCCTTTTATCGCAAATTAGTTTGTGAACGTATGAAGAGTTTTGTGCAATAATATATTTATGAAAAAGGCACCTAATTATTTAATTAGAATCAAAGGAATATAGGATGTGCAATATTCTAAAAGAACAAAAGTAAAGTGTGCCCAAAAAGTAATGATTTGGGGCCAATGTGATGGTTAAGTTGAAAAGTAATAAGGTTTTAAAACTTTACACCTAACTTTAATTCTTTTGAGTTTTGGCACTTTATTTTACATATCGACAAAATTTGGTCAAAATGATTTAATTTTAAGTGGGTTTTTAGAAATGCTAATTAGGTCTTTGTCGTGGCTCCTAGACAAAATGTCGTGGGTTTTTCTCTCTTTTTTATTTCAAGGTTTGTGCTTTTTTTTTAATTTTTATGAGGTCAGAAATATATATATATATATATATTATAAAAAATTTGATAAAAACTCTTAAAAATCATTTTTTATGCATAAAATATTGTTTATTAATGCATATTACATAAAATTCAAGATTGCAAGTAGATTGTACGTAAGTATAACTTGTTAAAGCTCCATATTTGAATTCGTGTAACAAACTGCAGATAAAAATAATCAAATACAGGAAAAACATCTCATTTTAAATATAAAAAATCTAAAATATAATAGAATAATCATTGAGTTTTAACAGAATACTTAATTATTATCTTTATAAAATATAATATTATTAAACCAAAGATAAATTATTTCGTTATTAAACTTAAATTAAATTATAATAAAATAAATTAATTAATGAAATTACATAAAAAATGAGAACCTATAAATAGTTGATTTGATATTAACATTGATATATTTTTTTTTCAAATTTATATTTTATTCAAGAATAAAGTCATTATTGTTTTCTTAAAAACACATAAAATCGTATTATAACATCGACAGAGACAAATAATGAAATAAAACATTAAAATCGAGATGCGTCTCGCTGAATTGCACGAGTACTCTTCTAGTATATATTAAAAGAAAATAAAAATGATAGAATGTATTTTATTTGTTAGTCATCGTGTGCCGTTTGTTTATTTGTGTTTTTGTTTATTTCTGTTTCTATTCTTACGATAACGGTTAATGTTGTACTCTTTTCAATATATTTAATGTCTTTCAAAAAGAATAATATTGTTTTTTGATTCTTTTACTAATTATATCCCAATTAACAATCGCTACAACGAAGATAGTTGATTGTTTAATTGTATGGTGTAGATGAAGTTGCATTGGTTGCAATATTTAAGAGGGTTGCATTTGATTATCCCTCTATATATATTTATATATAGGATTGGATTCACATGAGACCGGCATATTTCCATGAGACCACTTTTTTACACTTGAAACTTCACAGCAAAACATTGTGAAAGTAAAAAAAAATCAAACAGTTACTACACCAAAGTTCAAAAAACAATTTGCCTTTTGAATTCAAATCCCACATTTGAAATGAAATTCAAAAACCAGAATGTTTGTATTGGAACATGAAACATTTGATGCCAATTGCATACATCTTCTTTCTTGCTCAATCTGTCACAAAATCAGCTATAAATAACACAAATTTTTACTTCTCTCACCTGCAAATCCAAACACAAAGTACTAAATTTTACAGATTTACAGTGGGAAGAAACACCAATGGGATCTTCTCCTTCACACAAACATGCAGCAGTTTTAACTGCCCGGTCCGTCCGGCAATTTGTTTGATGGTTCGCTAACGGGCTTTGGCAAGGGTCCGACTCGATACACCATGCAACAATTTCACAAACCCGAGGAAACTCAGCTTTCCATCGGTGTGCCTAATCCAATCATGCAATACTGAATGAACCGAAACCGATGGGCCGAGGCCAAGTTCCTGAAAATTCCCCAAAAATTAATCGGTCAAGATTCAAGAAAACGGATTCTGGTTTTGGAAAACCAATTCAATTCGAGTTTTTTTTCAACATTTGTAAGACGGGTTTTCAAGAGAAAGTGATAAAGATGGAGGCTTCATGCACACCGTTACAACAAAATCGGATGTACAAGACGTCAAATATGTCTAAATGTCTTAATCGACTATTTTATAGCACTTTTACGTCCTATAAAGCCGATTTTGTTCAAAATATGTGAAGAAACGTTAAACCAAGGAAGAAAATCAAAGTCTAACTTACAGAAGCTAGTTCTTCAATCATGATGGGCCTATTTCCGTCTTTATCAAATAGTTCATACGCACAACGTGCATGTTGCTCCCATCTATCAAGAGCTTCGAGCTGATGGACACTTATGGCAGCTGCACAAAACTCATCAAACTCCATTCTTCTGTACTGAAGTGCATTAAGCTGCATATGGGTGATGTTCTAATCATCTAAATGTCCAAGGAGAACAATATGTAACCACGAGACAGTTCATTTAGGAACCATAAATATTTTAAGAACCAACTATTCATGACGAAAATACCTAAATATTTATGAATAGCATTCATCATGAATAGAGATGCACAAAAAAGCCTAAGCCTAAAGCCCGGTCCAAAAAGGCACATGCACAGCCTTAAAGCCCGATCAAGCCAACTTTTTAAGGCCCACCAAGCCCAAAATAGTCCTATAAGCCCAAAAAAACCCGACCTGGAAAAGCCTGATCAGACCCTCTTTCAGCCTCAAAGCCTGGTTAGGCCGGGCCTAAGCCCAAAAAAGCCTGGGCCGTGTGCATTATGCATTTGCATTATTTATGATATTCATATGAATATATATAATTCACTATGAATATATGATTCATTATGAATATATAATTTATGAATAGTTGGTTCTCACAGTTCTGAGATGAATATGCCTCTATGTAAACAAATGATAAGTCTATAGTTCGTTCATAAATGATCATACCGAATTTAGGAAATCATGGACACGTGATTCTTTCATGGCATCTGTAGAATGCTTCATCAAAGCCTGACCAGTTCATAAGAAGTCAAGATCGACATTTTAAACAAATAATGTTCGATAGACTGAAAAAAAAAAGTGTAACCGTTACCAACCACTTTGATATTCTCCATGCTTATGGATCCGTTTTTGGTTGGTTCTAACAAAGAAAATTGTTCCTTTAGATAAAACAACTCGTCTGTAGTCAATGTCTTCACTAACGCCTGAAAATGAGACGAAAAACCGCTATAAAAAGGGATTAGTTGCATAGGTGTCTCCGGTACACAAGACAGTATGAGACAGGACAGAACAGAAAAATAATTGTCTCATGTTTGGCAAGACATTAGACTGGGACATGATATAAGTTGGACAAAAATAATCCTGGCCCACCAAAATAGGTGGAACAAGAATCAAGAAAGACCAAACTGGTAAGTTACTAAACTACCCATTATCAGTCACAAATTGCAGGGATTAGTCTGGCCATAGCCTCGAAGACCCTTCAAATAAAAATAGGTGAGACAAAAATCAGGGAGATGAGACAAGATTGGCAAATTACTAAACTACACATGTCAAAGCTAAAACCCTAAAACCTTCCATGATTTTTTCATCCACCTACCTCACTCTCGCCCGTCTAATCCCTAACGCACATGACAATTTAGAGAACATACCCGTAGAGCAGCTTTACGAAGAGCCGATGAACGCATATACCCCTTCATGTGTCTCAGTATCGAGACATCAAGTGGCACTTTCACTTCATTACTATTTTGAATCCATGGATGACCTACAATATTACATTCGAATCATTATACCAATAAGAATCAAAGCTTTTGAACACTATACAATAAACAGGGAGACATGTACCCAACGCTTGAGCAGCCGTCATTCTTTTCCTAGGATCCTTGTTTAATAAACGTTTGACAAAATCTTTGGCCTCGGAGGATAATGTAGGCCACGGTACTTCATCGAAACTTGGATGAGCTTTTAAAACAGCTCGAAAGATCCCGGATTCAGTTCGTGCCCAAAAAGGCCGGCTTCCGCACAAAAGAATATATGCTATAACACCAATACTCCATACATCGGCCTCGGTACTATATGACCTATGTAGAACTTCGGGTGCCACATAGTATGCACTTCCGACAATGTCATTAAGCCTTTCGTCTACATAAAAATTGACATAAGAATTCACAAAGATAGAGATAATGGGAACAACATAAATGTATATATACAAGGGAAAGTTCAAATGATAACCATAAATATTTTGAAAACAGTGAGAACCAATATATGTAATTGCATATATATGCAGAAGTAGGTTCATACGAGAATGGTACATATTTAAGAAAATACGAGGATGGCCAAAATAAGTACAAAAACACATGTGATTTTACATTAACCACCAATAAAATGTGGGGGCGATCCTATGGCCGCGTGGCAAGGTCGTGTGAATCACATGTGATTTTGTACGTGATGTTAGTGTAAAATCACATGTGATTCGGTCATTCTCTTATTTTCTTAAATAGGTACCATTCTCGTATGAACCCGACTCTATATATGCATTGATGCATATACACTATCAAAATATGTATCTGTCAATTAGTATATTCATCAATATATATATACTATATATGCAAGTAGGGTTGGGTTCCGGTGAAAAGGGAAGTTATAGTAAGAAGCCTAAGAAGAGATCTCCATCCTTGGATCAATCCTAATTGAATGTCAACACTATTGAGGTGCATCGAGATGCACCCGATCAATTTCCTTCTAAAGTGCAATTCATGGGTGGGCATGAGATTAAAAGTGATCAAGGGTTCGGATCTCTTCTTACTCTTCTCACGGTAACTTCCCTTCTCCACACGATCCTTCGCCTATGCAAGTATATATGCACTGATGCATATACACTATCAACATATGTATCTATCAATTAGTATATTCATCAATGCATACATGTATATGTACTATGTATGCACTGGTTCTTATTGTTTTCAAAATATTTATGGTTCTCATTTAAACCTTTTGCTACATATATACGATATATATATAATATGGAAAGTACCTGGCTTCACAAAATCCGACAAGCCAAAATCTATGGCCTTTAGTTGTGAGTTTTCATCCTTGGATGTAAATAAGAAATTCTGATTCATCAACGGACAATCGTTAATTGGTGACTTACAAATTAGGGAAAAAGTAGAGAGAAATAACTTGTTACACGACTTTATTATCGTTGTATGAAGGTTCCATGCCAAAATTCTTAATTACTCATTGTGTCCAATACAAAATTGAACTTCTCTCGAGATATTTAAGATACCCTTCAATTAGGACCCGAATCAATACAATGATTGTACTCCTGTCCCAAAATAAGTATCCAGTTTTAAAAGTAAGTGCCTACTCCTATTCTACCCTTAAGTATGAGATGGATAAGTCGTTACTCCCTCTATTATGAAGGGTAAAACTGTCATTTACTTGATTAAAAAGTGTAATAATTATAAATTTCTGAAACTGTATCTTTATCATTGTGGACATTTATTTTGGGACCGTGGGAGTATCTTGAACTACATACATTTTGCGCTATCTACTTGTTTAAGCTTGTAGATGTCTCACCTCCGGCTTCAAGTCGCGGTGCACCACACCTTGAAGATGACAAAATGCAACGACATTCAGTATTTGTATCAACACAACTTTAGCATCGTCTTCAGTGTATTTCCCGCCCCTTCAAAAAAAGTTCCAACTAAACATTTTCAGGAATTCCTTATTGATGAACAACAAATGAAAGGAATCGACATGATACCTCGAAAGTATTCTATCCAAGAGTTCCCCTCCTTCACATAACCTGAAAATATGTCGTATAAACAAGAAAGAAAGCATAAAATCAATTAGATCGCCACTCCCATCATCTTAATCCCCAAGCCTACTAAAAGCAAATACTCCTCCGTCCCAAAATAACTGTCCACGATGAAAAATGCACAGTTTTAAAAATGTGTAATCATTACACTTTTTAATTTTACCTTAAATAATAGAAAAAATAATGAATTTCTCTATCTCATAACTAATGGTAGAATTTGGAAAGTGGACACCTGTTCTGAGACAAACTAAAAATAGAAATGTGGACGTTTAGTTTGGGACTGACGGAGTACTTGTTAAAGTCTCTTTTAGAAAATAAAAGAAATTTAACTTCAATGCTTACTCCATTACAACATAGACGTTATCATGGTCTTCGTATGCATCGTAAAACTTCACCAAGTTGTTATGTCCCGTTAAAGCTCTTAATATCTTGACCTCCCTTCTCACATCCTCAATTGCTATGGCGGTTGTCATCTGAGGGAAAAAGTTAAACTTCAAACCAAGTACTTTGAAAACCTCAGGGTTTACAAATTATATATAGACGTTGATAGCATATATATATATATATATATATATATATATATATATATATATATATAGACGAAGGATCGTGTGAGAATAGGAGTTACATGAGAAGCGTAAGAAGGGATTTGGACCCTTGATCACTTTTAATCTCATCCCCACCCTACGCATCGCTCTTGATACAAGAATTGTTCTAGTGCATCTCATTAGCATTGATCTTCCATTAAGATTGATCCAAGGGTGGAGATACCTTCTTACCCTTCTCACCATAACTTTCATTCTCACCGGAACCCAACCCTATACATGTATATATATATATGTGTGTGTGTATATGTATATGTATATATATCAAACATGGTGCAATGCAACTATGCCACTCCCTATGTTCCATGAAAATTGAAAAAAATTCTTTTCTTGCCCAAACTAAATGTCCATAACGCAAAGGCCACATAGTTTTAGAAATGTGTAACTATTACACTTCTTAATTAACTAAATGACAACTTTACCCGAACTAATAGAGGGAGTATTGAATTTCTCCATCTCATAATTAAGGGTAGAAATAGAAAGTAGGGCACTAACTTTTGAAAGTAGACACTTATTTTGGAACGAAAGGAGTATTTGCCACCATCATGTTCACAAATCAAGTATTTGTTGGATATGAAACATGATTTGGACTACAGAAATGAGGTCTACACCTTCAAAATTAAAATACAACTTCAAAAATGTCATAAAAATCCGCTATATTCTTTGGGGCAGAGGACAGGTCAGCGTACATCCAACATTTCAGACCCTACCTCCAAGTTAGACATAGTAGGTGTGTTTGGTTTCAAAACGTCACAACAACCATGACACTTAAAAATGATGATTCATGGTCTTATCCTCTTTTGAGGTCTAGTTTTCTCGTCATACAAAATATAATAATCCGAGCATTCCTCATTGACGCTAGCATATTGTAAGCAACATACATACAATCTTCAATCTTTAGTTCCCACCATTAATATAAACAGTGTGATGATCTATTCATTGATGCCCACAAGATTCTTCTTTTGTTTCCGTTAAATGGCCCACAAGATTCTTTCTTCGTCATTCGTTAAAGGGTACTTTAGGTATTTCACAACCTTCCCCAAACCATTATCAAATAAAAAGTTGCAACTTTCATGAGATAGATGGGATGTATTCTCTCCATATAGAGCAATCCATATGAACCCAAAATGATACCAATTTACTGTCGTTTTCTTTCTATCTGTTTCGAATATATCAATTTCTCGATAAATTTACTAAAATCAGTTCCTACCACAATATAATTGAAGAAAATTCATATTAGTCAACAGGTCAACAACAGAACCAGATGTTGATGTTCATATGATTGAATTCAAATCCCAATATCAGATCTGAATGCAAAATGATGAATCAAATCATATGTTTGATCAAATTTAAGCACTAATTAACATATTAATCATCAAAATTAATCAAAAAAAATGAGTTTGAATTAGCAAACCTTTGACTTTGGAATAACTTTGACTGCAACTTCTTGACCCTTGAATTCCCCTTTCTTGAACTTAGCTTTACAAGTATGCCCAAAATGCCCTCTTCCTACTTCTTCGCCAAGCTCGTATTTGTTCCCAAAATGCTTCGAAAACCCGAAACTTTTATCCAATCCCGTATTTCTTTCTACATCGTTCGCCTCCGGTATCGCCACCGCGTTTGGCTTGACGGAGCCATGCCGCCGTGCCAACGCCTTAATGTGTTTCGCCGGAGACGGTGGCGGAAACGGCCGCTTGAAAAACCTTCTGGGTGTAGAATTAGAGCTGGCATTCGGCGCCGGAGATGATTTCTTTGAAAAGAGATAGTGAGCTGGACTTGGACTGTAAAAAGGGAACAATGGAGTTTTCTTCCCTACCTCAATTTCATCTTTCTTGCTAATCGTTTCCCTTGACGCTCCATCACCACCGTCTTTCACCGGAATATTCGTGTCCAGATCACCGGAAAATTCAGTTTTCGTGGAGGGTTTGGAGCTACAAACGCCCATTTTGTGTGGTTTTTGTGCAAATACCCTGAAGCCCAATTATAAACAAAAAAACCCAAATCTTTTGAGGTATGAGATCTTGATTCTGGTTTTGGTTTTGATTTTGATTTTGAAATTGAAACTGATCTGGGGCTTAGCGTAAACTTGGAGAGAGAGGATTGAGATCTGATAAAAGGAATTTGGTTTTGTGAATTGACCAATTGGAAAGTGGGATTAAAGAGAAATTTAATGATAGTTCTTTGAAGTTTGAACATCAAACATGGATTAAATTATCTTTGATTTGAACCCTAAAAAGATTAAATTTATGCTTATGACATGAAACACTCCACAAGGCACTCGACAAAGGAATGAGGAGAAGGAGCTCTATGACTATGAATCTGCCAAATTAATTCTCTTTCTAATTTTAAAATCATACTTCTTTTTATTTTTAAAATAATATTATTTAATTAAATAAAATTGGTTTTGTTATTTAGACAAAAAGTTGATTATCGACAACTTCAACAACCCTCTGCATGAAACCAGCAAGCAGGGATAGACCCAGAAATATTTTCAAACGATGATACCATTTGATTATAAGAAATAAATATAGAGATATTTTTTTATAAAATTATCATTGGTCTATTAGTTTATTGTTTTTCATATGTGATATCTTATTTAAGTCTTTTACTGTAATTTTTTTCACAAATATAAGAAATCGAAATTACAAGTTAAAAACTAAGAAATTGTTTTTCATATGTGAGGTCTTGTTTAAATCTTTTATTGCAATTTTTTTACAAACATAAGAAATCTGAAATTAAAAAGTTAAAAACTAAAAAAATGACATTAACATGATTCAAACTCAGGTATGGGGTGGAATAAAAGTCTAACAAACTAACTCTATCAATGGAAACTTGTGTCCTCATTATAATATCAAAACCGCTATTTTGAACTCTGATATGTAATCAATTACAAAGTTACAAACTAGTTTTCATGTGTTATTTTACATATGAAACAACACGTGTGAAAATACAATGTTTATACAATCATGATTCAGTATGTTAAATGTTTAGGTTGTTTGTGTGTGGAAAGAAATTGTTTGGAACATTTTATATATAAAACGACACTGTAGAAATACTGTTTCACACGTGTAGTTTCATATATAAAACAACATATAAAAAATATAGTTTGTAAGTTTATATAAATTATTAAGTTTGTAAAACAAAGAAACTTTGTAAATTTTATCTGTTAAAATCAATATTAATACTTTTTATTTAAAATAAATAAATAAACAAATAAAATCATTTTTCACAGTTTAGAAGCATATAAACATTTTGTTTAATTTATAATAAATAATTAAAAGATTTATTTAAAATGTAATAAATTTTGAAAAAGAAAATAAAAGTCTTTAAATAAATGAAAATAAATAAATAAAATGTCAACCAGTCAACACGCCCTAAAGAAGCTTTTTCTTTTAGAAGAACAAGAGGAATGTCAATAAATTCCAAAAATATTGCTTTTTTAATATATATTTATTTAAATACTGAAAAATTCAATTTAATTTAATATTTTATAGTTGTTAAAACGTTGTGTTTGTCTTTTTCTTTTAACAAATTTTACAGGTATTATATATATATATATATATATATATATATATATATAATTTTCAAGTACGGTTTTTAAATTAAAAAATATTAAAAAATATTTAATACTCAAGTCAACAATGTTTTTTTATTATAATTAAAAATTCCTTTTCTTTTAATTATTATTAATTTTCTTAACCATAGAGGCAGGTCAATACCACAAATTCATTATCGTTCATATTAAGGGGTCTTCAAAGCTAATCGGAAGCATTGATTGGTAAGAGTCGAAATTTCGTTTATCTTATCGGGTAAAAGACCAAAAAAAATCAAATTCCGCCGGGTTAGCAAGTGGCACCGTCGCAATTGCAGACCTGACTGTCGCATTGTGGACCTGGTCATTGTAATTGCGGACCTGACAGTCGCAATTGCATACCTGGGTTGAATCTGACAATTTTTTCTGTCTTTTAGCTAGTTCCACAATATTACGGAAATGGATAGTGCGGACGTAGTAACATTCAGGTAAATCCGGGAGAGGAATGGCTAGGAGACCAATTTGAATGGGTGGAATGGTTTTTTGAGTCCCTAAATAAATATACCATCCCCTGCTAACTTTCTATCCCCCACCCCACCCTCTCTCCATGACCCATGCCTTCTTCATCTTCGACGTTTAGTCGCATTTGCTACTAGTAGTCGCCAGCACCATGTCATCGTCGAGGTTCTTCTCTTTCACCCGCCGACGTAGCAACACCACAACCAATGAGGTTTGAACCCTCATTCACCTCGACTTCACTAAAAGTGTGGATTTTAACCCTTGTATCGTGGATCTGGCATGGTCGTCCAACTACATTTTGTAATTCTCCCTCCAGGCCTCCAGCACACCATCTATATCAGCCCTATGACCAAATTTTTGACTTTCAAATTGGATCGGATCTAAACTTTCAACGTTCAAATTGAATTGGTTGGTTCTTGAATGACAATCCAGAATCCAATAAAACTGAACCGATCAAATCCAATAACTATATAATAGTAATATTTCACACAATATTGTTTTTTAGTTGATATCTAAACATAGTGTTTTCTGATATATTAAGAAAATATATAAATAATTGGTTGAAAACTGTACCAACACATTAGATGAATCTGATCCGATGAATAACCAATACTAATATCCAATGGATGGAACCGATCTAATCCAATCATCCATTGAGTTGGATTGGATCGAACGTCCAATATTAATTAGATTATATTAGATGACATATCTGACATCTATTTGATGATTGGATCTGATTCATCTAAACCCATTGAATTTCAACCAATAAGCATCCGTATTTTTTGTTTACTTTTTGATTCATGATTTTGATTTTAGGGTTTGATTTAGTTTTTGATTTGTGGGTGGTTTTCATGACCAAAGAAGAAGATGAAAAGTGGTATTGGCAAGGGGTGTTGGAGGTTTGTGGGGTCATTGGAAGAAGACATGTAGAAAGTAAGTCCATGGGTCTAAATGCAATGAACCAATAATAAAAAGATTTCATATTAGTGAAGGAAGGATTTAAGGGACTGGATACTTTTTTTATCAGACACGTTTTAAAAGTATGAGTCCATGTATAAATAGAACGGATAATATATGGTAGAGTTATCTTGGAATGTTAAAGATGGTATAAACGCTAGCAACCAAAATGGTGTTTTAGCAAAGACGTTGGGCTCAGAAGGGGTATAAGATCCCACATCGATTAGGAAGGGAAACAAACAGACCCGTTCCTGACACTCAATAAGTCATGGGCGAGATGTAAATAGGGGCTCTCTAAGTACGAAAAATTTTGTTTTAATTATCAAAATAACATTGAATTCAGAAAAAAAAAAAATAATTCATATAAAACTGTTTTTCTGATTATTTCTAGATACAAAATCAATCAATAATTACTTCTATATTAATATTATCTACCATATCATTTTTACATTGCATCATAAAATCGTTTCATCGTCAAACACATCATATGATATACCTATCATATATGATTGACATCATTTGAGGTCACAATATTGACCATTCAGAATAATATTTTATGTAAATCAATATAAATCAATCAAATTTTCATGTCACATCATGTTAATATTTGCATCACTACTTCAAATTTTTAGGGTGAAAACAAACTTTTTAGGAAGCATAAAAACTCATCTAGAAACGTGGACGCTTAAATTGGGATGAAGAGAGCATATTCTAATATAAAATTAGAATTCATGGGGATGGAATCATCAAAAAAAGCCAGTGGAAATGAATGATGGAGAATATATCAGTGTTTTTTTGACAAAGCAATTGTAGATTTTAGTAGTAGACAAGAACTTAGAGAAACAATAAGCAATACTATAAATGAACAACCAATTAACTTTTTACATATTTTATTTCCAATGTGTTTGACTCGTCCTCTCGGACAACCTTGGGAAATAAATATTGTCTTATAAGAGACTGAATACCTCTTTTATCATACTCGTTTTAAAACCATAAGTTCACATACAAACAAAACAAACAATATCTGATACGGTTCGCATGAGATGTTATACTTCTTTTCGTAACTTTTAAAATATAGTGGATATTTTAATACTATAATCGATGTTATAATCTTCAAAATAAAATAAAATAAAACTGTTAAAGTTGAAAATAATATTTTTGAAAAATTCGATCTTTTTTAAGAAACGATAACAAACCTGTTACAGATGTCGTTAAAGATCATGCGACTACCTATTCTCGTATGAGTGTGAGTTGACCGGTGCTACATATTTAAATTACCCAATGGAATCAATCTTGTGACATCTCATTTTTACGATAGATAATACAATAATTGATGTTACGTCAATCTTAATTATTGTTTTTCCTGAAGTTACCAATTATTTTAATAAAAAATGTTTTAGAAGTCGCTATCAAACGGTTTTATTTGTTATAAACTTATCATCAAATTGACGATTTCCACCCATTTATATGAGAACGAATCAAATTGGTCATATCTTAACAAGTCAAACATCATAAATCCATATTTGCATAAAATCCACATATTTCATATAACATAAGATATAATTATACACATTGGTCTCAAATGTATCCGTACTGAAAAGTTATTTATGACATAATCTCATGGTTATAAGTTTTTTAAATTATTTTAATAATTTAAAATTAAAAAAATTGAAAACCAAATATAAATCCATCCATTGCTTTTGAATGTGGCAATGATCATGGCCAGCTGACTTTTCATGGCAATAATTCTTCCATTGACTTTTGATGTTTAAAGAGAAAGTAAAGTTGTATCTTTTAAGAATTGAATATTTTATATAATTTAAATATATGAATTATTTCTAAAAGTTAATATCTATACTATATTATAAAGTATTTGACAAAAACTCTTAAAAATCACTTTTTATGTGTAAAGTACTATTTATTAATATATATTACTT